CCTGCGTTTTCGGTGCCAGAGGCAGCAGAGTGGAGTGGCAGGAGCCGGTCTGCCTGGGGAACTGGTTTTAAAATGGGCTCCCCTTGAGTGCTAGCTGCTGCCTGACACCCCGCGCAGCTGCCTCTGGTACAGAGACAGCAGTGCGGCGTGGCAGGAGGCTCCCCAGGAGTGGATCGGAGCTCACTGGCTACTGGCCCCACCCCCAGGGATTATAGAATGGTTGAGTAACGTATAAGAATTCGAGCCGGTCTGCCTGGGGAACTGGTTTTAAAATGGGCTCCCCTTGAGTGCTAGCTGCTGCCTGACACCCCGCGCAGCTGCCTCTGGTACAGAGACAGCAGTGCGGCGTGGCAGGAGGCTCCCCAGGAGTGGATCGGAGCTCACTGGCTACTGGCCCCACCCCCAGGGATTATAGAATGGTTGAGTAACGTATAAGAATTCATGAGGTTACTTGACTATTCAATTTCCAGATATCTAACATCCCTAGTTTGCCCTTTGAAGACACCACTCTTGAAGAGTTAAAAGCGTATACTTGAATAATTTTCCATCAAATTTGATCACCAGCTTTCACTAATAGCTCAGGGTCAAGCAGGTCTGCTTCCCCCTCATCTCTAGAAAAATGTGAAGACTGCATCTGGGTAAGGATGAGAGGACTCTTTGTGACCAAACTCCTTGCATTATAATTGGATGGATCAACAGTGCATTAGATCCTCTGTGGTAGTTTGTGAGTATAACTGTCCCCTGTGCTTGCTGCACTGCTGTGGTCATCAGTGGAGACAATTATACTCCCGATCACACATACTCCCTTTCCGTTTGATGCAAAACAATTGTATACCACACACATCTCATTGTCCTGGCACCACCAAATCCTGACCTTGCTTTAAGTTATGGTAAGAGGAATCGGAGTACCAAATTTGGTGGACCTAGCTTTTTCCACTTAGTAGTTCTTGAACGGATAGACAAACACACAGACAGATGCACAAACTTACTGAACTATATAATAAACTAAAAGATCTACCAGCTGCAGCCCCTGTCTGCAGGGTGGGGTGTGGGGGTGGGGGGGGGCGAGCTCCATGTGGACAGAGGCTGTTCTGTGGCAGCAGCCCCTGTTCAAGGGGAGCTTGGACTCCCCCGCGAACAGGGGCTGCTACCACAGAGCAGCCTCTGTCTGCAGCAAGCTCAGGCCTGCTGAGGACAGAAACTGAATCCCAGCAGCCTCCTCTGCTATCCTCCCCCCTTTTCCCTCCCCCTGCTGCTGCTTCTGATAGAGGCAGCAGGATGGGGAGGCAGCTTTTTTTAAAGTTGCCCCTTCCTCCCCCCCAACACCAGCTTGTGCCTGCTCCTCTCCCCTGCCTCTGTAGGAGGTGGGTCTGTGGTAGGGATGTAAGTGACTAGTTGAGTCACTACTCGACTAGTTGCTTCCCCCAAGAGGGGAAGCAGGAATCAGTGCTGGGGGGAGCCGGCTTAGAAGCTGGCTCCCCCCAGCACTCTCTCCACAGAGGGAAAGGGAGTGCGGGGGGGCGGGAGGGGGGAGAGGTGCAGGGGGGGA